ACGCAGGTTGGGTTTTGTCTGTCTCAGCCAGAGAGGCAGCGCCCGTCCCGCGTCCCATGCCCGTCAGCGTTTCGACATCGGGAGCTTGTCGGGTCTCGGTCGGGGAGGTGAGTGTGTGAGTCCCCCTTGTCACTCTGGTGTCCCAGGCCCCATCGTGGCCTGCTTGTTTGGTTATTAAAAGGAAGGCACTTGAGCGCTTGCATGGCCCACATCCTGGCCAGCCCTGCTTGGGGGAGTGCCCCTCAGAGCCTGGCAGGCCGAGACACCGCGCTGGGGAGCCACCATGTGGGGCACGTCGGCCAGCACTGCCTCTGACGGGCTGGTGTGTGTTACCTGGCCTGTCTCCGGCGCATCCTGGACTGTTACACATGCAGCTGGGTGCAGAGCTCTCTGCGCTGTCTCGCGGAAGGGACCCAGGGTATGAGCTGTGCCCGCTCTCTCTCTCCTCCCAGTGGTTGTGGATTGGTGTGCTCGGCTGGCCCTTTGCTGCTCCGTGGTGGGATCGGCACAGACCTGTCTCTGCCCTGGGAACTCAACGGGGGAACGCTGCCGGACAGGTAAAGGCTCTGTCTGGGGGCTAGGTGATGGGGCGGGGGGGAAGTCGCAGGGAGCCAGGCGGGTTCTGATTCTAGGGAACCTTATTCTCACCCCTGGAGCTGGGGGAGATGGTCCCGCTCTCCCTGGGAGGGGGTTGGATGCTCCCTCCAGTCACCCCGCCCCACCTCATGCTAGTCGTGTCAGACAGCCAGCCTGAAAAGCTGGTCCGGCCTTTCCATGTGCATTTCCCACCTCTCGGCCGGGTTCGTCTCCTGACCGGGGCCCAGGCAGAGTGTGCAGAGGCCCCTGGGCTGGGGCTGGGTTTTCTCCTGTTCCTCTCGCCTATCCCGGAGCTGAGGCCCAGAGAGCTGTAGGGCCGTATGGGCATGGTGAGATCCAGCTCCCTCCTGGGTATATGGGGCATCGCTGGGTTCTGCTCTCTCGGGACTCAGCCCCGCTGGGAGATGGGGAACGCAGCACTGGCATAGCCTGACTCAGCGTTCGCAGCTCAGACCTTCCCGGCTCCCCGGCCTGCCCTGCTCTGTGCCCCTCGCTGCACTCAGGGGCCGTGTGGCCGAGCGGAGTATGGAACATTTCCAGCCCGTGGCAGCTGCGCTCTGCAGACCTTCCCCAGCGACTCATCCCGTGTGCCCTGGGAGGTGGGGCCAGGCCTGAGTCCCCACCTTACAGAGAGGGGAATTGCCTTGCCCAAGGTGTCGCAGCGAGTCACTCTCAGGCCGGGGGCAGGCTGAGAACCCAGGAGTCCTGACTCCAAGCCTGGGGCTAGTAAAAGCATTTCAGTCCCCCTTGGGCTCATAGCTCTGCCTCAACTGTCTCCCCGTCGTTGCCTCTCTCCACTCAGGTGTGGATGCCCTGGAGTCTCTGCGGGAAGGTGTTGGGCAGGTGGCGTCACGAGAGGCCACGGTGAAGCTGAGGGGGGCTGTGTTATCTGGAGCTGCCGAGCGTCTCCGCAGCCCCAGCACCGCGGCCCCGGGCACTCGCCCTAGCCTTGCTCCCCACCAGAGCCCTGCGGCCTGGCCTGCCGGCACTGCAGAGAGCCCCGGAGAGGCGCTGAGTAACGCTGCCCCCGTGCCCCGAGGGGCGTGGCTGGGCAGGCGGAGGAACGGGCCCCTGGCTCAGGAGGGAGCCACCGCTGAGCGTGTGGAGCCACCGGCCACTACAGCAGCTGCTGAGCATGGGGACAAAGCCCACGACCTGGGAGTGCGTATGCGCCCGTCTGCTGCAGGAAAGGGGACGCCGGCTGGAAGCACCGGCAGCCCCTGGTTCTCTGCAGCGTCACAGTTCAAGGCAGCAAATCCCACGTCGGTGCCTCTCCCTGGGACAGTCCCTCTGGGAAACCTGAGGGCAAAAGATCTCACTTCCCTGGGGGGCAGCAGCTCCGATATAGAGTCACCCACGGTGTTTCCTGGCTCTGCCGCCCGCGAGACGGCTTCATGGGACCAGGCACCTTCCAGCACCTCCGCAGTAACGGAGCCAGTGTACCCCAGTGGAGAGAGCGCGCTCACGACAGGGCCCTCGGACCCGGAGCCGTGGAGCATGGAAACGCCGGATGTTGCTCTTGCCCTGAGTAAAGCCAGGGCGGAGACCAGCCGGGGCAGTGCTGCGGGCGCACAGACGCCAGTGACCTCCGCGCCCGTGGCCAGCCCTGCTCCCGGGGAAGCGCAGGGGACAATGGGGCCCACTTTGGAGGAGGGATGCGGGGGCTGGGGACGGCACACAGGGAAGCTGCCGTTACTGCGGAGTTGGACTTCACTGACCTGGGCCTAGGAGCCAGGCTGCGGAGCCCCACGGAGGGCTCTGGCACGCTGCTGCAAGGACAGACGGAGCTCGCCATGCACACTGCAGCCTCCACACCGGGCGACTCTCTGGAAACCAGCCAGACACCTGCTCTGCGGCCAGACGGCCGGGAGAGTCTGACCTGGCAGCCGGGGGGCAAAGCTAAGCCAGCCCCAGAGACCAGCGGGACCCCAGTGCGCACCCCAGACAGCGGCCTGACAGAGCCGCTCGCCACAACAGCTGGCTCTGCTCCAGGACTCCATTCCAGCACCCATCGCATGGTGCCCCTGGGAAGCCCCAGGCCTGGGGAGGGCCTGGGCCATACGCTGGTGGAGGCTGGCTCTGAGGAGTCCCCAGGGCGCAGAGGTGTCGATGGAGTCCCAGAAAACATGGACTTGTCTCTCTCCAGTGAGGCGCGCACAGAGGGGGACCCTCGGGCAGCGTCCTGGGCCGAGTCACTCCCCGGGGCTTCCCCAGACAGGACGCCAAGTGCCTATGCTGGGACCCCAAGGCCATTGGGCCACCTCACAGCACCTGCCCCATCCCCTGGCTCGGCCCAGCCCCCAGCGCCAGCTGAGCAGCTCAGCACGGGGGCCGATGTCTCTCACCCCACAGCTCCTGGCCAGGAGAACGGAGGTCTCAGTGAGCGCGCCCCAGAGCCCAGCTCGTCAACAGCAGCCCCAGCCCTGGAGCGGCTATCGAGTGACTTCCGGACTCTCGCCTGGCTCCCCGAAACTCCTGCTGAGAGGTCTCGAGTGCCTGGCACAGGGGAGCCCCGCAGCACGGTCCCAGCCGTGCCCGGTACGGCTGTGTCTGTGGGCACATCCTCCCAGCCTCCTGTCGCCCACACTCCCGGGGCCAAGCAGCTCTCCCTGGCTCCTGCCCCAGTCGGGGCAGTGACGTCTCAGGAGGGAGTGTTCCCGGGAGCCTCCAGTGGGGAAGCCGTGCCCCATGGCTCTGGCACCATGCGAGCCATCACTCCTCTGGGCTTTCAGCCTCCGCCAGCCAGCCAGCCTGCTGGAGTGGAGACACCGGCAGCCACTCTGCAGAGAGGTTCCACAGCGCTCAGCCCGACAGCGCCCCCTGACCCCCCCAGGGCTGGGCTGAGTTCCCCATTCCCCTTAGAGAAGGATGTTTCGGGGTCTGCTGCCCTGGGACTCGCAGAGCTCAGCTTGGCCACCACCCCGTCTCCATCGTGGGACACGGCGACCACTAATGCCACAGTGGCAACGTCCTCGTGGGCATCTGCAAGCTGGAGGGGAGGGACTGAGAGGCTGGGCCAGCGGGCAACGGCCCCCCCAGCCTGGGCTGCGCAGGCTGGGTCTGAACCGGGGAATTCCAGCCAAGCCACTGATGCAACACCCCCGAGCGGGGCTGGGGGGAGCTTTCCGAGCAGCAGCACCGGGGCCCTGTTCAGCCCCACGCCCCCCATCCCAGAGCTGCTACTAACCTCTGAGAGCGCTGGGTCCCCAGCTGGCAGCAGGAGTCCCTGGCCCCCCCTGGCAGCCAGCCCAAGGGCCTGGGGTGCAGAGGTTACGGATCCCGTGAGCAGTGCCAGGATGAATGTCTCCTTCGCCAGCACGCAGCTCAGGGCAGCGATGACCGATGGGCAGCCGCCGCCTGTCACCACCAAGGGTGCCCGTGGCAGGGCACAGAGCGTGTTCGTTGTGGAAGACCAGCCCCCTCTTCTCAAAGGTCAGTCGGGCAGAGCCTCCCCTGGATTTCTGCGCTGCTGTCTGGGCAGGGACGTCCCGCGGGGGAGAGGGACGGGGTGTCGCGTGCAGTCAGGGGTGCAGCTGGTGCAGTCCAAATGCAGCATACTGGGAAAGCTGGATGAATGGGGTAGCGGGTTCTCTGGCCCAGGCACAGCCAGTGTGGGGCCCTGGGCCAGTCAGGCCAGTGCCCCTGACACCATGTCAGCCCCTCTGCTGGGAGCTCCCCCCGTGCCATGCTGCTCAGGCCCCCGCTGCAATCGTGCCATGGTGCCCACTCGGGGATGTGGTTCTGCCGTGTGAGGCGACCCCAGAGCAGGGCACGGGTGTTTGCTCCCAGTGGTGCTGAGCCATGCCGAGGGCACACTCCGGCTGTCCACGGGGATCCCTCAGGGTCCAGCTGGGACAGCCCCTCTTGCAACAAATAGGGGTCTGGAGCTTGCGAGGCCTTTGGGGTGAGTGCAGCCCTGGCACAGCTCTGCTGACTCGCTGTGCATCCTGGCTCCATGCCCGGGCGCCTGCGCCGCGCTCTCCATCGCTTCCCCACGTCTTCCCTCCCCGTTGTCCCAAGCTCGGTGTTTGGTGCCAGCCTGAACCGGGGCGCTGCTCCTATGCAGGGCTGGCCGGGGCGTGGGCTGAGCACGGAGCAGTAACCGTTTCCCCGATGGTGTCTCGTTTCACAGCGACCCTTCTCCGCGTGCCCTGTGAACTCGCGCTGGAGATGGAATTTGTTAGCGCCTT